AAAAAAAAAAAAAAAAAGCTTTTACTTGAAATTATTCACATTTCCTACAAAACAAAACACAAAATATACATAAATATAAAAGTAAATTGAAAAACATAATAAAATAAAGATATATACATGAAAAATTTTAAAATTCACCAAATGTAACCTAGAAAAAAAAAAAGAGTTGCTGTTGAGGTCATATACGGACCGTCATCGGTCCATATATATCGTTTAAAGAAAAAAAATGATAAAAAATAATTTAAGTCGATATTCCTTACATAATTTTATGATATTGAATTATTTTCATATAATTTATGATGTTTATCATATAAAATGCTAGAAATTTTTTTAAATTTAGTATAAATATATAAGTCTCTAATATCTATTACAAATATAAAGTCAATACAAATATTTAATTGAAATATAAAAAACCAAAATATCTCGGGGTGTCCTAGGGGTGACTGTCCCACTGGTATCCGCTGGGGTCATCCCTAAATACTGGTAGAGTTGCTGCATCTGTGTCGCAAGGGTCGATTGTTGCTGCCGTAGGCTATCATTATCTGCCAAAACATTAGACATTGCTTGTCGAAGGCTATGATTATCTACCTTCAATGATTCAACAATCTACTCTAATTCAATAACCCTATTAGACTGTCCTATAATGGGTGGCCTGAATGGTTCTCGTCTAGATGTGCTCACACCTATATCCTGTGGATGTGTGTGAATATCCAAACCTTTCAACCATCCTTTCTTGACCCCACCAGTTGCCCTAAGTAATATCTCAGCATGAGGTATTGTGGGGTCAAATCCTTCTTCCTCTTGTCTAATAGCATATCCAGCTGCCAATTTTTCCTGAAATACTATAAGACAAAATAAATAATTAATTGTATTGAAAATTAAAGTGAAATTAAAAATATCACTTTAAGCACCTAAATTCAATTTACTCTCCCCTAAAAGGATGGAGTTCTAACTTTTTACCAATAACTATATTATACAATAGTTTAAATATTATAACTAAAATAATTTCAATTAATTCATAACACAATTTAAAATAAAATTGTTAAGTTAAATACTTACTCCAATTTCTTGAGCCTCATCATTACAATATACAAGCAGTTGATCTTTTTCTTTTCCTTTGTGCTGCCTTCTACTGGTGTAGACCTCAAGATATGTTGGTGGACGACCCTCAGGGTTTGCTTGTTGCTGTAAAGAAAAAAAAAAGAAGAGAAAATATTAAAATCAATATAAAATAAATTATAAATCATAAATCATTAATTATTCATTAAAAATAGGTTAACTTTTATACCATTTTCTTTCTATAAACATTAACGTCCATTGAACCGCTGGTATGCGTCACCCTCGGTCTTTTTGCTCAATTAGCCTTTGCAGAACTTGACCTTCTCAAATGACCCTCGTCCTGTAAAAGTGGTAAACACATATAATTTCTTAATAAATAATATGATAAAAACATTAAACATTACAATTGAAAATTTAAAAAATAATAATAATGAACACATGAATTAACTCCATTACCTCAGTCCATAAATGAACAAGCTTCACCCATAACTCTGGATTCATATCTGGAGGCTTAGCTTGAAAGTTTCTCTTTGCACACTTAGCTTTCAACTCACTAAGTGCATGCTTGAACTTGATCCTTGCTGTCATGTTCCATAAATCTTTTACAGTCTTCTCAATCGCAGGATCCCATTCATATGTTTGTTGAAAATAATAGAAATATAAATAAATACATAATTTAATAAAAAATATTAATGATAATAACAAAAAAATTTCAAATTACTTAAACTTTGAAGATAGAAATTGAAAATATCTAATTTGTAGATAGA